AACTTCCCCGAGAAGGATCAGTGGCTCCATGTTGGCTTGCAAATAAAGCACAGAAATGCAAAATGTTACGATGTAAAGTGAAAGAAGTATTTGATAACAAATGTGTACATAAGAGTTTTCATATATATATATATATCTATATAAATATATAATATCTTTTAACAGAGACTGTTTTATCCCTTGGTGCATGTGTGACTGAGTGAAATTATATAATGTTGACAATATGCTTTTTTTTCATTGTTAAGGATTTTTTCTTTTTTAAATCCTTCCCAGCCATCCCCAAGAGAAATAGTTCTGGTGTCTTTAGTTAAAACTTTTGAGGTTGGGACCACAAACTTTCCATAATCACACTGATAAAAATGCCCTTTCTATGGTATCCCATTGTAGGGGGTATGCTGTTTGAGAGAAGTGCTCTACACACAGCACACCATCAAGAGCTGAATATTTAAACCTTCAAAAAAATGTGTGTGCACAAGTGACATTTCTGTTGAGAGTCCAGTAAACCCAAAAACTGTGTGCAGGATCAGTCATAGAGCTGGGGGGAATCTTCAAGCAGATTAGATGGAATGTGTCATTTGCCTGTGATCATTGCTATTCAGATCTTTCAAACAGACACTGAACTAATTCATTTGTCTAACCCAGTGGTAGTCAACCTGGTCCCTACCGCCCACTAGTGGGCGTTCCAGCTTTCATGGTGGGCGGTAGGGGTTTTGCCCAATACTGAAGCATTTTCCTTTTTTAAAAATTTAATTGACTTTTTAAAAAAATGTCATAGCATTATTTAAAAACATTTTCATTAGGTTTTCATAAAATCAACATTACCGTGGAACCGGTGGGCGGTTAGAAAATTTTACTACTAACAGAGGTACAAAAGTGGGCGGTAGGTATAAAAAGGTTGACTACCCCTGGTCTAACCGTCTTCTCAGAAATATTGATAGCACAATGGTGTACAGTATGTTTCTTCCGTAGACTTGCTCCCAAGTGAATCCATAGGACTGTGGTGCTCTGAGCTTAAAAGGCAAACTGAACTCTGCTCTTTTAATGTTGAGGTGAGTAAGATGCTCCCAGAATATCTTCAATATCTACTTTTTGAACCATGACTGAATCAGTGGCAGAGTTTCTAGTTGATGTAAAGTGGGCCTGTGCCAGAGAAGGGAGTGGCAGTCAGCAAGAGTTTTTTAGGACAGCACATTGAAACATCCTCGCTCTATGGTGACTTCTGGAATATGTGGCCATCTATCCAATTTCAACCTTAATGTAGATGCACACAACCTTGTGTCAAATCCCAACTTCTATTTAAATATTAAATGTTCATTGCACTCGTAAAGATCCTAGTGGAACAACATTAAACGGCCAAGCTCACCTCAAAAAGCAGCAGGAGGAGCAAGAACATTATAGAAGAGACATTCTCATGCTGTTCTATTTCGCATAGGAACTTATTAATGTTTTCTCTTGGCACCTTGACTCCATTTATAGAGATTTCAAAATGTATTGCTAATATTGCTTATGCAGTAACCTGACACAATGAATAATCTATTTGCACACACACACCTAATTTCCTTTTCTTTTCAAGTCAGAGACATAGAATTCAGGTTCATAGATAGTTGCTCCGCTTCTGAAGGTCGTCTCTGTGTTGTGAGAGACTTTTGACTTAAAGATCTATCAAGCAAGGAATCTCTCATTTAAAAAGCATGAGGATACTTTGGCTACTTTGCTTTAGTTTTTATACACTGTTGTAAGTTCACTTAAGCCCTCGACACAAATGTGAACACATACATGAAAACTGTTTCTATAACGTAATTGTGGTTTTTTTTTTTAAAAAAAATGCTGTCTCTTTTGCTATTGATGCCTATGTAGTATGGTAGCTCCCAAAAGTCATTCTCCGTCCCACTTGATCAACTAACTGTAGCTCAGGCTGAAGTAAAGTTGGTAAACATAGGTTAGGATATTTTCTGTAGGGCGGCATCAGGTTCTGTCTGATCTCCTTATTTTCTTTACTTGACTTAAAGGCCAGTTTCAGAGAAATAAAGATAGGAAACATGATTTAGTTTAGGATATTAGGAGTTCGTATTAGGGACATAATATAGGAAACACTTTCTTTGCGGGATGAGACAAATAGACTTAATCTACTCTGAAACACCAAGGAAAGCTTTTTGGCATGTTTTTATATTAACCAGACGGTTCGACTCTAAAGGAAACATTAACAACCAGATTTTTCTAAATAGACATTAGAAGGCCAGCTGGCACAGGTTATTTTTCTGTTGTGATGTTTAGTATCTTGCTACAGCAACTGGATAGAAAAGAACCAGAGGTTTTGGTGTGCCATGTGCAAGCCTTTTTCTTCATACTTTTGGGAGGAGGCTTTCCTCTAATAGGAAACCTGTGATAAAACATACTCTCTCCCTTTAAGTAAGAGAGAGCTTTTAAATATCTGATTACTATGCCATTAAATTACTCTTCCTTCTCCTTCAGTTGGCGGTAAATGTATAGCTTTGTAAGACAAGTTTTGCCATCTGCTTTTTAGCTGAAGCTGGACTTTCTGAAGTAATGCATAATTTCACCATCCCCCTATCTCCAGACAATAAAACACACTTGCACTTTGGAATAAGTGTCCAATGATATAAGGTGCCAACTTGTGGCTTATTTGGTGATGTTAAAGAAAATGGATCCGCTAATAGGGAAACATAGTCAGGGTAAATTTTTCCCCTTATTCATAAAGAGAGAGACTAAATGATGTGCTTTCTAAAGAAAAGTGAACTTGTAAAGGTTTGGTTACTAGGTGAAGGTTTCTAGGTAAAGATGAAGGTAAATCTGGAAAGGCATAGAAAAAAAAGGTATCACCATTGGAATTGCTAAGCACACTTGCCATATTAACATTTTTGGAAATTTTAGTTTTAGATAACAGTTGTTTAAATGTTGTTACTTCCACTAAATATGTGAATCTGCTGCTTCTGAGAGGCAATGTGAAAGAGGAAGTATTAATTTTTGTGTAAAAAGTTATTTATTTATTAGACTAATGTGGTACAATGTTGTACATTGAGAATACATTGTAAAGATATTGGAAGTGTTTAACAAATGGCATTGAAGTGTCTTTAATAAAGGTTCATTTATAATACCAATTATCCTGCCTTGATTCATTGATCTGCGCTTTTTTATAATTTGGCTTTGGGGGAGAAGTAAAATGAAATTCTGCATTGTTACGCTTCCTGGATTTTGAAGACTTTTTTAAAGGATATGTATTTCATAACCCGCAAATGGGCTAGGATGACCAAATGGAACTTATGTCTGAACATCAAAATCTTGCGACCCTATGACCCTGACCCTCCCTGAGGATTTGCAAGTGTCTAAACATTCCCAAAGTGTTTTTCAGCCACCAAAGTCACCTTGCTCCTTTGCACTGTGATCTTTTTGGATTCGGCATCTATTGTGGTTCATCACTATCCCACTCTGCTTCTTGAGCAAGATCTCTCATTTTTGTGACTGTCCTTGGAGGAGACAAATTGAGCTCCCTGCAGGAGATGGCATCTTCGTTTCCTCTCCTCACCCTTCATCAGTTCTTCCCCCTTCTCTGTATCTTCATTTTTTTTCACCTCCTGCCAAACTGATTTTTTGGAGGCAAAGGATGGGAAAGAAAAGGAAAAAAAACCCAAGCTTGCTCTTTTTTTCATAGGCACCCTTGTTAGGCGGTAAAATAATACAACATTGTACTCAATCAGTACTAAAGAAATTCGAGTCTAATTAAAAAAGGCAGCCTTGCTTATCCAAGCAAGAATGCTGGCTATGCACCTGTAGGTATGAACAGTGGTCTAGATTTTCCAAATGGGTTTCAAACAAGAAACAAATGGGTTTTCCCCCTTCTATACATTTTTTTTTAAAAGAAAAACCTTGTTGCTTCTTCCGTCTGTCCTGCAGAGCATGGCAAGTTTTCAGTCATGTTAACGGTGCTGTTTTCTTCTCTGGGGTGACTCTGGTGCCATTCTATGATGAATATATGTGGCTACTAAGCCATGGAGACTGGGCTGTCATTTGCACATCACACTCCCTAAAGTGACTGCTAATAATAATGCTTTTCAGTTCCTTGGCTGGAACCCCTAAATAGGTGCTTTGTCCCCCAAAGCTGAATTTCTTGGCAGACTCTTCCCCATGGCCTCACCACCATAACAGGACTCTCCATAAATGGACATTTTCGTTACGGAAATGGAATTACGGAATTTCTCCTTGTTTAAATAGAGAGAATGAAGTCCGGGCTGCTGAACAGCTGCTGAGCCACAGGAGGCAGGATTGGCAGGAAGAAGGGGAAGAGAGAAATGTAAAGGAATAACTTCTATAAATGTGAATATTTTTTCTTAGAATTAAGGAGGGGTGGGTGGGATAGTGGCTTCACAGCTGTTCCTCTTGACCAAAATCACAAAAGCAAGCTTCGGATCTTGTCATACATCCCGAGAAAGATAAAACCTCCAAGGCTGATGGAAGAGATTCGAGGGACAATGCCGGCAAACAAACTGAAAGAAAAGAACAAAAGTGATTTAATATTTTGGAAGTTCTACCACTAGGATGTTCTACCCCTCCACTCCTGCAAATACTGTAGAGAGGCTCCCCTCCATTTTGAAATTGCTTCCCTGAATGTCAACTTGAGCTCAACGTATTTGTAACTGAGGGCTGCATGAGGGCAGATTTGGGAGCAAGGCTTTCTGAGATGGGGTCACTTTAGTGAGGAGAGAGTTTAGTCACCTTCCTACCAGTCGTGGTATTCTATCAGTTCGGGCCAGTTCGCCCAAACCGGTAGCGGAAATCCCAGGTGGCCACGCTCACACACCTGGCTCTAGGGCATCCCATTTAGGTCATTTTTTACCAAAAGTGCACGTGCGGAAAAGGGCATGCTCACATTTGTGAACCGATAGGGAAGGTAAGTGAATACCACCCCTGCTTCCTGCCTCAAAAATGCACCAGCTAGTTGCAAGCATTGGTTCCACCACAAAACCGCGTTCGACTAAAGGGCGTTCGACGAAACCGCGTAGCTGACGTCATCACAGCGTGACAACAGCGCAGAGAAAAAAGCACGCTGTAAACGCTAAACCTAAAATTAACCCCTAAATCTAAACCTAACCCCCCTAAACCTAATCCTAAACCTAACCCTTAACCTAACCCTTAACCTAACCCTAAACCTAACCCTTAACCTAACGCTAAACCTAATCCTAACCCTTAACCTAACCCTAAACCTAACTCTAACCCTAACCCTTAACCTAACCCTAAACCTAACCCTAACCCTTAACCTAACCCTAAACCTAACCCTAAACCTAACACTTACCTTAACTTGAATCAGCTTGCTTTCAAAGCGCTATTTAAAGCGCCCTTTCTCCACGCTCGCTGTTGTCGCCCTGTTGATGATGTCAGCGACGCGGTTTAATCGGGCGCGCTTTAGTCGAGCGCGGTTTTGTCGTGCCACGGCAAGCATTGTGTCAAAAGGTGGGACTCTGGGAGCCACAACACAGCTATAAAAATGAGGCTCTGAGACCATCACTGCTCTCCTCTAAAACAGGGCTCCCGAATACAATCCCCAACAACTCCAAACCTGTCACCAAATTATAAATAATATGACAGAAAAACAAAAATAATCAAATATAAGAAAGTTCATGTGTCCAAAATAGTGTTTCCTTTCAAATTCTGAGAGATGAGTTTTTACATAATTTCTGCACACGGGTGTTTCCTGATCTCCAAAAAGTGTGGCTTTATCTCATAGATATATAACTGAATTGTTTTTCACAACAGGCTTGTGTGTGTTTCCTGAAAGAGGCATGGATTTTAAAAACCTATGCAAGCATGGGCAACCTAAAGAACACAAGGAAATTCTTGAGAATTCAAACACAGAATGAATACTGGGAAAATAATAAAAGAATGGAAAAAGAAGATGGTCATTCCAGGGGAACAGATACCTTTTCTCACAACCCATCCTTACTCAAAATTCTAAGGAAAAGAGCCACAACTTCAAGGCTTATTGAAAAAAGCACAGGGTTTTTTTGTGCTAAAGCCAAAAAACCGAATAAGAATTGAAGTATTAAAACTGGCAAGAGACGATGGATAGAATAGAGCTATCCCCCCCCCTTTTTTTCTTTCTTCTTTTTTCTAATATAATGATGGCCTGATTAAAAATAGAAATAGAGGTGAGAAATAAGAATATACACCTTTATATAAAGGACTATGTCTGAACATAAATATGTGTATTAACATTAGGATTAGTAAGAGTGACCTGACTAGAAGCCAGAATAGAGATAGAAATAAGAATTACAGGGAATATTAGTAGTTATAATTTCTATATAAATTGAATATAAACAATAATTAGATGGAAAGATGAGAGGTTGAAAGATGATAATACTATGTATGTTCAAGATTATTGACATTAGATTGGAACATTGAAATATTGACTATATTTATATATATATTTATAAAATATAACTATTTTAACGTAATCAAGTACATTAATATTAGGATCATATAAATTTGATTAATGTAACAATTGACTCTTGTTATTTGTATTAACATGAACCATATCCAGAGGCCACACTGATCATGTACTGATGTTGATATATGTTTAAAAATAAAAACCCAATAAACCTTGGAGGGGAAAAAAGAACCAACAAGGACATTACTACTAATGTCCTAAGAGAAAGGGTTGTTATTTTTAATCAAGGCAGCCGTAATCAAAACTTCTGATTAATCTCTGCTTTGGAGAATGTGACACAAATTCTACAACAGCCTTTTGTGAAGCTTTTTTTTCTCTCCTCAAGCCATTGCTAAATCAGATTCAGGGCTCTTTGTCTTCCTTCCTGCACTTGTCTGTGGTCTACTTCAGGGCTGTGGCAGGCAGATGGGAATGTTTTATGGTTTCACTAGACAGCAATCCACTGCATTACCATAATTACAGCTTTAAAGCTAAGTAATTTGTAGCAAGACAAGTACTGACAGAAGAATCCCTCAGCAGATCGGCAGATCTACACCAAGACGTGTATCTGGAGATTAGAAGATTCCTACTGGAAAAGGTTAAGCTGGCACCGATCCACGGCCAAAGAAATTGCCGCTATTATTTTCTCCATTCAAATTCTCTTTCAAATGCTAATTCTTCAGTAGAGTTCTGGCTTATCTACCGTAGCTCTTTCTTGTTCTGATTACAGTCCAGTCATTTGTTAACTCCTTCCACACAGGAAAATTTTAAGAACAAAACACTTTAGTTTGGTTTTCTTGTTAAGCAAAGAAAGCAGGAAACAGATTTGCCTGGAGTATTTCAAGTTCTTCCCAGAGCCATGTGTTCTTTCCCCAATAATTGTGTTGTTTTCCATGGATATAACAGTCTTCTATAAGTTGTAGGCCACTCTCAGGCCACTAACAAAAGAGGTGAAATATATGGAAATACGGAACTCATAAACCTCCCATCTCACTGCTTTAGACCACTGTGAAATCTTATTAAAGGTGCAGTGATAAATAAGGCATGCTTACAAGGAGTGTCGAATCAGGAGCAGTTATTTCTAAATAAAGCTATAAAGATATATAATCCAAAATAATTCTTGATCAATATTTTAATAAATGCATTTCACTGGGTGCTTGCACATATATTAGAGTACGCTGAAGGATCACTATCTATCTATCTACTCTGCTTTAGGTTTTAATTTAGTCTAATAATCCCTTCCAAAATTTTGGCTCTCTCTACAGAAGAGTTTGGTCACCCTTCTTTCCTTAAAGGTGTTATAAAAAATTCATATGAAAACCAAGACTGATACTATGTACCAATATTTGATTCCTGTCCACAGGTATTCTCTCCAGTAGCTTTTCCAATTTCAATAGATGGCTATCAATCAAATCCTTACTGTGGAGAGAAAATAATTACAGATTAACAGAGTTGGAAGGAATCTTGTAGGTCATCCAGTCCAACTTCCCAACCAAGCAGGACAAATGGCAGTCCAGTTTCTTCTTGAAAGCCTTTAGTGATGAAGCTCCCACAACAATGTTCCATTCGTTGTCTGTTCTCACTGTCAGAAGGTTCCTCCTTATTTCTAGGTTGAATCTCTCCTTGATCAGTTTCCATCCATTATTTCTTGTCTGGCCTTCAGGTGCCTTGGAAAATAGCTTGACCTCTTCCTCTCTATGGCAGCCCCGCAAATATTGGAACAGTGCTATCATGTCTCCCCTGATCCTTCTCTTCACTAGACTAGTGTGAACTCAAGGAGTCAAGGAAAGCTTTAAGTCCATCCCTATAAGTGAGGTTGTGCTACTGAAATCTGGAATGGCAGCCCAGTTTTGCTGCCATTTGTGTGTTGTTTTCTTCTTCCCTTGTGAATTGTATTCCTTTGAAGATCTTGATTGTTTCATGTGTTTCCTCTAGTTGTTCCTTTTTTTTATTACGACAAAGATATTGTCTATAATTAGGTCCAGAGTGACAGTTGGTTCCAGCCTAAATCCAGTCATATATAGTATCAGATAGGCAAGCTAAGGACTGCATCTAAGACAGTCAAGATTAATTCTCCCTCCTCCTCACAATGGCGGCCAACTCCAACAAGAATAAACTATGCTGACTAAAAGCACAGAGAAGCCAGTGGTGGGATTCAAATAATTTACCAACCGGTTCTCTGTCCTAATGACCAGGTGGGTAGGTGGGGCTTAGTGATCATGTGACCGTGTGGGCATGGCCAACTCAACATTACTCAGGTCGATGGGCACTTTGCCTTAGGCGTTAACAATGTAATAAGGGTTAACCGGAGAGGCAGTTTCTGTAAGCAGGACAATAAAGATTAAGCTAGAAACAACACCAGAATGTTTCCTTCCTGCCTTCCTTACAGGATTAGCCCTGTAAAGTGGGGGGAAAACCAAAAGAAGATTTCTTCCAACAACCGGTTCTCTGAACCTCTTAGAAAGTTAAGAACCGGTTCTCCCAAATAGGTGCGAACTGGCTGAATCCCACCACTGAGAGAAGCTCAGAGAACCAGACTGCCTATCAACTGGTTGCAAACACCCAACAGATTAAAATTTAGGATTGGAAGGACTAGGGAAAGTATTCAACTCACAACCCTGGCCACTGCAAGCCTTTCCCCAGCTTCTGTTCAAAATGTCTCAGCTAATAATTACTGCCTGGCACTTTGCAGGACTACATATAATACTGCTATGAGGCACTGAGAAATGATAGACTAAACTTGGAAGTCACGGATGGGCATGGATTCGAAAGAACAAAACTGGTACAAGCCTGTGTCTGGTTTATGGCCTTTTAGTCCCTTTTTATAATCCCCCATCACAGTGACTGAAAAAAGAATTAACAACAGCAAAGAGAAGATGGGATGTTAAACCACTGGCCCGTCCTTCAAGGTCAGAAGCAAATATGCAGCCTCTGGATTTAATAGGGGGGCAGCCTGCAGTCTGAGGCTCTGCAGTTTCTCTTAATTGGCTGTGAAATAATAGGATAGGAGACAAGGCAGTTCATCATCTATCCTTTCATATGGACACCCTGCTTGACACTTTGATTAATCATTTATAACTGGTAGAAAACCTTGCAGAATTGGCCTGTAATATTTCTAGCCACTTTCCAAGATTTCCTTGAGGTTGCCCCAGCTTGCCACTTCTTCTTTCTTAGGCGTCGCTCAGAGCTGTAATTTTTCTGACTCTATGATCTCAGACAAATCTCACTCACCGAAATAATAAATAAATCCCCAGAACAGACAGAGGAATGCAATTGTTAGGTTCCAAGCCTGGCAGCTGAAGGAGTCCATCAAGGAAAGGTGATTTTTTAGTTGCGATTTTATATAAATTGTAAAGGTAAAGGTTCCCCTCGCACATATGTGCTAGTCATTGCCAACTCTAGAGGGTGGGGCTCATCTCCGTTTCAAAGCCGAAGAGTCAATGCTGTCCGAAGACGTCTCCATGCTCATGCAGCTGGCATGACTAAGCATGCAGAGCTGTTACCTTCCCAACCAAAGGTGGTTCCTATTTTACTACTTGCATTTTTATGTGCTTTCAAACTGCTAGGTTGGCAGAAGCTGGGACAAGTAACGGGAGCTCACCCCGTTATGTGGCACTAGGGATTCGAACCGCTGAACTGCCGACCTTTAGAATGACAAGCTCAGCAACATAGCCACTGAGTCACCGTGTCCCTATATAAACTGTATTCCTCCATAATTCCTCAAGCTTTCTACATTTATCACTTCCAGTGATAAACTTCTAGCTTTCTGTTACAGCAATTTCTAGAGAGGATCATCATGCCAGAGAAGCAGGAAGATATCATCAAGAAGACCTCTCTGAAAGGCCTCCATATCTTTAAGACTCTTTAATTCAGAATACCTTAGGTTTGGCCAATTACCATCATCCATAGTACTGTTACCTCCAATCTATATCACTTTGCTGACAGTAGTCTTTCATTCCTCAAAATGACATATTGTTCAAAATATTTTTTTTTGAGGAAAATATCCAACTATGATATCACGGATGTCAAATTTGCGGCATCACATTGTTGTCACATGACATTTTACAAAAAAATTTCTTTTTGCGGAGCTGGGGTGACCATGGGCTGCACGTGACGCATCCAACCTGCGGGCCGCCAGTTTGACACCCTTGCACTAAATTGAGCTCCATGCTATCTTTCCTTCTTTCTTTTTCCTTCTTTCCTTCCTTCTGCCAGGGTTCCGAAAAGCTTCCAAAAGCAAACCAGCAGCTGCAGCCATCTTTTCTTTTGGATCTTTGGCCTGCCACCTTCCTTCCTTCCTTCATCTCCCTCCCTCCCTCTTGCTTTCCTTTCTTTCTCTCCTTTCTTCCTTCCTTCCTTCCTTTCTTTCCTGACCACCTCACCATCAAGCGACTTAGGGAAGCTTACGAGCCTTATAATCTAAGGGTCAACATGTGTCTCCTTTTCATATGAAAGTAAGTTTGAGGAGCTAGCAAGGGCTGCTGGGGCTAAAGGCTACTGTGATATAATGCGACAGCTGAGCATTGTCTATCATTGGGTTACATGACTGCCCAGACAGACATTGTTCTTCTACCCTGATATGGCTGGAGAGAACAGCAGATAACTTTTCACGCAGATTAAAAACTTTCCCAAGAAATGGGTGAGAGAAAATAAATGAGGGAGGGGAGGAGGAATAAAGTGCTGGAAGGAAGAGAAAGTAAAAACCAAGATGAAGCAATGACTGATGAGCCTTGTTAGAGCAGCTTTGAAGGTGAGGAAGGATTCTTTGCACCAGAACAGCCTGGGAGAAAATCACTGAAACATTTAAAGGATCCACAGACTCCATGTCCTTTGCCTGCCAGCTATCCTGTTTATTTCATTGCCATTGTTTATTTTGTGACTTGTTCTGTGACAACTGGAAAGAACAATATTGTTTCAATGCAGTACATTTCACCAGCAGAAAGTGTTTGCTTGCTGACAAATAATAGCAAATAAGAGCAGCTAGCAAACATTACACACACTTCAGACCCTTATAGTATTTTTGAACACACACACACACCTAAAACAAATATATGTAGTAAATACTTTGTAGTACACAACTAACGAAACATTCTTTTAATAGATGGATTTAAAAGTTGGCTAAGGACTGAAGACACTCAAGGTAAAGTCTACATTCAACCATAGAATTCCATTCGATGATTTGGACCTACACATTGTCTCACAGCCTAACTAAGTTCATGCTGTTTTGGGGAAGATAAAACTGGAGGGAAAGATCCGGTGTTTGAATTCCTAGAGGAAAGGTGAATTATAAATCTATGAAATAAGAAAGAAAACATAGATCTATATAATATTTTGTGCAAATTGTAACTTTCCTAGCGCTCTTTGGGAAAGACACTGCTATCTTTTGATTCAAAATAAACTACAGAATGTCTTAACAATGGACTCATACCAGTTACAAAACAGATTATAACGGTTGGCTTCCCTAAGCAACAAAAAAGCTCCCCCCCACTCCACTTTTACATCGTGAACTATTTAAATTCTTGCAATATAGAAAACATCTGAAAAAAATCCCTCTTTGGTCCACAGCCCTGCACACAAACTATCTAGCTAACATCAATTTAACTTACTCAAAAACCTCTCATGAATTATCACCAGACAGCACATACGCAAGCTTTAAAGCATGGAACATTTAAGTGAAAAAATATACAAATATCTTGCTTTGCATAGACATTCAGGGGGGAAAAAAATCCACTTTCTACTGAAAAAAATGTGTTTACATTTTCCCTCAATTCATCCCTGCCCCTTTATTTATTCTTACCCCGATATCCCTTGAGTTTTCCATACACCTTGAAGAGCTGATAACACATTCCCACTTGCGGTTCTGGAGCCAGTCTATATAGACAAAGAAACAGGAGTATAAGCTGCCTCCCAGAAGGCCATTTTTTTCAGCCAAAATGTCATACAAAGGTCTCTCACAGCTGGAGCTCTTTCACGAGAGATGAAAATGACTGAACTGGGAAACCTGGATCTGCATTGGATAATGAATATTTGGTTCTAGTGGAACCAAAATAGGCCTTCTCTATGATGGTTCCCTCTCTGTGGAACATCACCCCTGCGAAGATAAGATTGGCCTCCATTTTGACACTCTTTCGAAAGGCCTTGAAGACATAGTTTTGTCAAAACGCCTAGGGACCCCAGGGGAATATGAAGCCCATTAAGTGGTTTCTTTGATAGGGGTTTATTGGGTTTTATATTTGGGATTTTACTTCTGTAAGCCTCCAGGAGTCACAGTGAGGGAACTCATAATTTTTATAATTTACCGTATTTTTCAGAGTATAAGATGTACATTTTTCCCTCAAAAAACAAGCTGAAAAATCTGGGTGTGTCTTATACACTGAATCCCACTCTCATGGCCTTCAGAAAAGCTGTCAAGACCTGGCTTTTCCGGCAGGCCTGGGGCTGTTGACCTCATTGTAGAGGTCCAGCCCCGACTGAAATGAATGTATTTGTGTTGTATTTAACCTGGCTTATCTTATTTTTATTTTCTTTTATTTCCTTTCTTTCCCCTTCTGTAAGCCACCCGGAGTCCTCCGGGATTGGGCGGCCTATAAATAAAATTAAACCTTAAACCTTAATACAACATTTTTCTGCCTCTTGAAACCCCACCCCTTCACCAAAATGGCCGTGCATAGCTTGTAGGAGGCTTTCAGAGAGCTCCTGGGGGCTGGGGAGGGCAGAAATGAGTGAAAAATGGACCTTTTTTTTTGCTCGTTTTTGCCCCCCTCAACCTCAGGAACACTCTATAATCTTCCTAATGTCCTTTTTTGACAAAAAATGGGCCCGTTTTCACAAAAAATGGGACATTTTTGGTCGTTTTTGCCCACCCCCCCCAGAAGCATTCTATAAGCCCCCTAAAAGCTATGCATGCCTCTTTTTTTGACAAAAAACGGGCCCATTTTTGTGAAAAATTGGCCATTTTTGGCAGGTCTGCAGAGTGCAAAACCTTTTTTTAATTTGCCTCTTCCAAATCTTGGTGCGTCTTATACCGGTGCCTCCAAAAATATGTAAATACAAATATTTCTGAGTAAGGACGGGTTAGCCTAGGTTTAACTAGTTTGAG